AAGGAAATACTGGGTGGAAAGAGCTTCAGTGTAGTTCCAAGAAAGTCTCATCCAGACTGCTACGAAGTTCCCCAAGCCAAAGTTGCCCATTGAAGGAGTTCTGCACTAGGTAGTAAAAGATAAGTATAGTATCAGTGCTATGCTCAGTTAATGACTGGGAGCAGCTCGAGGTCTTTATGGCTTCAGCTCAAATGCAATGGTGGATCCAAAGGGGTGGCAGCTGGCTATCAGTCAAGTATGTTCCCCAGAGTAGGTTCTCTTGAAGGAGATCTAAATGGTGCACTGATATGGCCACCATATCAACCAAATACCAAAACAAATAATAAAACTATAGCAATTAAAACTGTCATACTACAGTTGACCAACTAAGACAATGAAAACAGTATGAGTTTAGACTCAAATCCACATACGTGTATGTACACGTGTCTGTAGATTTACTAAAGACTATGACTAAAATAGCATTTCAAATTATTTCATATATAAATGATACTGAGAAGTGGCTCTCCATTTGGAGGAAACATTTTAAATTGGCACTTACTTCACATATACAAAAAAAATCCAAGGGAAATACAGAATTAAACATTAAAAAAACATAAAAACATGTTAGAATACCTTTGTCAAAAATGCAAAATTAATCAGTTAATTTTTTTTAAAGTATAAAATCCAAAGGACAAACACAGTAAAAGAGACATCAGACAAAAGATTTTAACAAACATCATTTGCATGGCAAGCAGATGGTAGAGCACTAGTGGACCTTAGCAGAACAGAGGAAGTTATAACCTAAATGGCCACAGAGGTGATCAGAGAAAAGAACTAATTATCTCTACAACAAATCAGAAAGGATCAGGGCTTAGAATCTGAGGACAGGGTCAAAGTCTATATAGAGAGGGGCTACACAACTGGATCCCCTTCCCAATCCCACATAACCAAAGGACTACCATCTCCCTCCACACACACTCATACCCATACAAGCCCTTTGAACACTGCCTCCAACACCACCACCTCAGGAGACTGAGATTTATTTTATGAACTAGGAGAGACTTTCATTTGGAGACACTAGTCACAGTAGTGGGAAATTGTGACAAAAGGGTTAAAAGGAGTGCTTAAGTGAAAGCTTAAATACCAAACAGATGAAGGACCTCTTGCCTCCTTCCTCTGCCTTTACTCTGTCCGAGTATGAGGAAATATCTGGAGAAACTACACTCATCCAGAGAAAAGACTTCTAAAAACATTTCGTAAGGTGAATGGGAGGGGCTGTGATTGAAAACGAAAATCACCCCAACAGTCCATAGCCTTGCTCTTCAGAGTAGAGAGCCAGCCAGGGTTTGGAAGGGGCCAAACCATGGAGAGCTTTGTATGCCATTCTAAAGAACTTTATCCTACAAGAAATCAGAAACTGTTGAAAGATGCAAAAACAATATAATAGGATCAAATTTGTTTCAAACTATCATTCAGTAATGTATCAAGAATTGACTAGTTAGATAGAAACTAGAGATACCAATCTACAGCTTTCAAAGATGTAATTTAATCTCAGTTGATTTGATAGGGTAGTTATTAAATTACTTGCTAGGGAGAATGTCAAACTGAGTAGTAAACTTCTACTAGTAAACTTCTAACTTTCAACAGTTATTGAGTACCTGCTATGTTCCACATCCTCTGCTAGGCACTAGAGATAAAATGGTGAGAAAAAACAGTTCCTTGAACTCACAGAAATTTGTCACCTAGATGTAGAGACAGTTATTAATCAGAAATCATACAAATAAAAATTTAAAAATTTTTAAAAAATCAATAAACCTAAAGCTACAAGTATGACAAATGCTACAATGGAAGGGTGCATGGTGCTGTAACAAGAAGATAAAATTGATACTCTGGTTGTCTTCCTACATCTCTTTTACCATATCACATGGTGTAATATCCGTGGGATTTGGGTGGGATTAACCCCAGGCTCCAATGACAGGCCCTGATTTGCCTCAGCCAATCAGTGCTTGACATTCCCTAGACCTCAGATCTCTGGGTTCAAGGGTAAGGCATGTGGACCTATATTAGTCTAATCACAATGTAACTGGGAATACGTGAAGAAACTCTTTTTTGCTGTGAATGAAGAACTGTGGAACCTTGGGAGCTCTTGGCCACTATCTTAAGATACAAAAGGAGTCAGCCTTAGTGTGAATTTGACAGAGCAGAATACAGAATTGAGAGGCAGAAGGAAATCAAGTTCTCACTGATACTGTCAAGTCAATCAAATCTACCCGAGGTTCCTCTTTATCTCCCGATTTTCCTTCATATGAGCCAATAAATTATCTTACCATTTAAACCACTTTGAATTGGGTTTTTTGGTACTTGTAATATTCCAAAGGGATATTGTCTAGACAGGGGAGTCAGAAGGGTCCTTTATGAAAGTGATAACTGCGGCAACATCTGAGGGATAAAGCAAGAATTGCCATGATATGACTGGAGGGAACAAAGTTCAGACAAAAAAGTATCAATTTTAACTTAGATCAAGTAAGACAAGTTGAAAAATGTCCACTGGCATTATTAACATAGATATCTTAAGTTAGTTTGTAAAGAGCCTTATGATGAGAGCAAGGTGCTGGGGTGGGCAGTGTGACGGAAACCAGAATGGGTTCAATTGAGGAATAAGTGGAAGGTGAAGAAATGAAGGGAGTATAAACAACTTCAACCCTTAAATAGTTTGGTTGTAAAGGGGAAAAGAAATAGGAATGTGGCTAAGAGGATATAGGTTATCAGTTTTGATGGTTTACTTAAATGAAGAAGACTTAATCACCTTAAGGAAAAAAAATGAGTGAATATAGCAAAAAACTTTCATAAAAGCATTTTCATAAAAACATCTATCAGAAAGGGTGACATTTCAAGGGTATGAGTCAATGAAACAACAGCCCAGTTTACCCTATAGAGATTAACAGGATATTTTTTTAAACCCTCAAGAATTAAAAAATATAACATGTCTTCCAGGGACATTGGCAATGATGGTAGATTGAGCTGTCACAGCTGGAAGAGAGGGTGCAATACTACTGGCATCTAGTGGGTAAAAATAAGGGAGGCTGCTAAAATCTTGTTTAGCACAGAACAATCTCTCACAACAAAGAATTATCCAGCCCAAAATGTTAGTGGTGCTAACGTTGAAAAACCCTACTCTAGGAACTTAACATCAAGTAAATTGGAACACATGAAATAATTTTGGTAAATCATTTATTATTTTAGGTTGGAAACTACTGGGAATGACACATATATACATAAATAGGAGATGGTTTAAATATACTAGGGTACATATATACAACAATATGTATAGATTCCATTATATATAGGTTTAAAGACACTGGTTTCCTTATTATCCCTCTCACTACAGCCACATGGCTTTGTATTTGCTTTTCTGTTTTCTCATGCTCTCTTCCCTTGGGGACATGTACGGCTGCCTGCCTCCCTCAGAGGCCTTCCTCAATGACACCATTACCTTTCCCAAGCTCACTAACCTTTTGCTACTTTTATTTTTTGGTATTAATATTTATCAGTATCTGGCATGTATTTGTTTATTGTCTTCCTATACTAGAATGTAAGCTCCATGAGAAGAGGGGCCTTTTCTTTTTATTCACCATATAGAACAGTGTCTAACACATAGTTTATGCTCAACAAATATTTGAATGATTGAGTAAATGCAGGAAATAACTCTTATTTCACAATTTTGTCCAGAGTTAGTTCTATTTGTAGGACATTAACCTCAACACATACAGTGTTAAAGTGACTTCTGTATAGTTTTCATTCCTTTAAGTTATATGTAACTTACCTGTAAGTTCTTTTAGGCCAGCAACATATGACTTTGTTCACCCTGTCCCCTCAGCCTTGAACACCTTCCCAAGCCAAAGTGCAAACTCCCACTTAGGGATCCTCTAACACCAGTTCCAAACTTATTCTGTGGAGCTTTTTCTGACCCAAAACAGAAAGGTCATTTTCTCTGGGCTCAAAATGCATTTGTCCACATCAATCACGGCAATTAATGGACCCTATTATTACATATAACTACCTAATTCAAGTACCTTTTCTGAGGTCCTCTATAGATTTTTTTAAAAATGCGATGTATCCAGATTTTGAAATTATAATTTATTTTTTATCAGGCGCCTGTTCTATGTAAGACGTCTCACGTTTTTAGTGCATCGCCAAAGGGTGTGCACACATACGATCTGGTCAAAACAAAAGCACGTTTTGACGAAACCCCTGATAAGTAATGACTACAACCCCCAAGATGCGCTGCAGGGTCAACGTGTGCATCGCGTCTGTTTTCACCTTTCAGACTAATGAGTGGAAAGAACTGACGACAGAACAAGCTGAGAATGTCTTTAAAAACATATTCTATCAAGAACGAACGAGCACTGAAATAAACGACTGCCCAGCACATGACTGGTATCCACCGGGCAATGTTAGACGATTAATGTGATGTTTGACAACGTGAATGTCCAGAGAATTCCTCCTTCGCTTATTCAGCGCAGAAGACCTCCCGATAGATAACGCAAAAAATGCTCGTAAGAGAAACTCAAAAATATCAAAACAATGCTCTTAGATATGTTAAGCAGGTAGGTCCCCTCCACTTCCCTTAACTTCTCTTAAGACTTATTTTCCGAGGTTACAAACACGGAAAGAGCACTGCATTTCCTGAAGTGGACAGTATGCTTTTCAATTGCCAGCTACCAAACGCCTAACAGTGATACGCTTTGGCGGGAAATAGGAATTTGTCAACACACTAATGTACAACATTACAATCGCCTGGTGGTCCATAGAACACTTCCTGAGATGTTTAACAGATTCTACAACGAGTTTTAGTGGGTTTCGGATCCCCGTAACTTACAGGGCTCAAAGTTCCTACGTATTCACGGCAAGAATTTTTAGGTATTTTTCTCCCATAGGCTGACACGGTCAGCTTCCATTAAGGAGTGCGAGCACATTTCCTTCCTTTTTGCTCAGGCTTAGTCCCGTCCAAGGATGCGTACCTCCCAGGTATGCTTTACTTTTTCCTCAGAGCTGGGTCCCACGGCTCGTCACACCCCAGGTGCAGCCAGCAACCACTCAAAGGAAGATCGAAGACCTGCCGCCTCAGAAAGGAATCTCGCGGCACCAGACGGGACAGGGAACTCGCGAGAACCGACCACCGGCGGAGATCCCGCGCCAGCAGGCGGGACCGAGAAAAGAGGAAGTCGCTCTTAGACCCTCCCACATAGGTCCAGTACCCCGCCTCGCGAGAACACCGAACACTGCCGGCTGGGGAAGCGCGTGCGAAAAGCAGAGGCGCCGCGCATTGGGCTCGTCGGCCGCCGTAGCCCCTGCTAGGACAGCCCGTGCGAGCCTGCTGGAGGAGGAAGAGAAAGGCAGAGAGAATCGGGTTACAAGATGGCGGAGCTGTAGTAGTTACGGCGGCGGCGGCGGCGGCGGGAGAGCGAGCTCTGGGGGGCAAAGGGAGGGGAGGGTGGGTGTGTGCGGGGGTGAAGTGAGAGGTGACCGGGACTCCGGGCGGAGGGGTCTCGGTGACTCTTGTTGCCCCTTACCGCGACTGAACCTTGGGAGCCATGGTGAACTCGGGCCTCTCCGGAGCCGCCGCCGCCGCTGCCGCCACCGCCGCAACCGTCTCTCAAGAGTGAGGGGCGCGGACGAGGTGAGCGAGGAGGCGGCGGCCGAGGCGGTGGGGACAGCAGCCACCATGTCGGATACGCGGCGGCGAGTGAAGGTCTATACCCTCAACGAAGACCGTCAATGGGACGACCGAGGCACCGGGCATGTCTCCTCCACTTATGTGGAGGAGCTCAAGGGGATGTCGCTGCTCGTTCGGGCTGAGTCCGACGGTAAGGTTATTGGAACATAGGATAGGGGACAATCAGTGCCTCCGGTTTGGGCATAGCCCTGGTGTTTAGGCCCTGGGCCGGGTACTGTTACTATCACATCTTGGGACAGCGCTTTGGTTTTGTGTCTGTACTTCAGTACGGTAAAAACAAACTACTTTGTCCGGATTTACCCTCAGTCAAACGTTGATTCTGTTCCCCCGCCTCCTATCCCTATTAAGGATTTGACTCCTTCCTCTCCAGTCTCGCCTTTGAAATGGGAGAGAGAAGTGCGAACGGAGGAGTAATGAGAGACAGGAGTAGTTTTCTTCTCGTCCTAGGGAGCTGACCCTCCCCCTCCCTTTATTTTTTGTTTTCTTATCCATTATATGTCTGTTGAAAAAGCTTAGTGAAACTTCACTTTCTGAGTGGGTTTTTTTTTTTTAACCCATTTTACTAACCAGCCCCTTTTGCCCCAGGCGACAGGTGCTGGGGAAAACCAAAAGGTACCTTTTCCTGTGGTTATTGCAGACTGTTGCCACGATACGTGCACGCACAAGCATATCTATAGTCTGGGATCCCCCCAGGCTGCCTTTGTAGAGGTTGCCATGAAGAAGTGGGTACTTTACAACTTAAACAAGTTAGGACACCAGAACAGATTGTAAACTTGTATCCGTTGGTTTATTGTACGAGTCATGTGTGAAGAATTTTTAAATTATAAAATGTAGAGCATAATTAAAACCTTTCTCACTGTAATCTGAACGCCTCGATTTGAGCAATTATGTGCAGATAATAGAAAAATAACAATCTTAGATTTATTCTTGTATTTTGTACTCTTGCACTTTCCCTTTTATTTTAAATAGTTACGGACATTTATTTCTATATGAAGTGTCCTTCATTATGTTAAGGAGAAAAGGATAAATGCAGTTCTGTAATTTGTGTACTAAGTACTTAGATTCCTGTTGTGGTCCTTTGTAATTTGTTTTGTTAAACTGGAAATGCAATAAAATAACTTTGTTAAAAAGAGCTTGGCTTCAAGTAGTCATTTAGACCTTAAAATTTTCATTTCAATAAAATTTTAATGGACATCTAGTCTCCTTATATTTTGGGTCTGAATGTTGATCTTAGGTGGATTTTTTTTTTCCTTTAAGAGTATATGGGAGATAAGATGGTGTGTTCTGTATGTAGCCCAGATCTGAAGAGAAAAACGTGAATCAGAATACATTTGATTACTTCACATGTCTAGCTAGGGAAGGAGAACAAGTTTGTTTTTTTAAATTAATATTCAGATATTTTATTCAGAATTTTATGAATTGAAACTTACAAATACTATTTTTTATCTTTCAGGATCACTACTCTTGGAATCAAAGATAAATCCAAACACTGCATATCAGAAACAACAGGCAAGTAGTTGTTTATCTTTAATTTGAAAGACTTCATCTGTGATCAAGGAAGTATTAATCTGACAAACATGGGAAAGCTTTCCTGACAAGAAAAAACATGTTTGGTAAACAGAGTTACACATTCTGTTTTTTCCTGTAGGTCAAAAGTTTCAAACTAAAAAGTGAAAGTTTTTGTACTGGCAGTAATTTATTATCTTTGAATTGAGCCACTGTTAGTTTATGTTAGAATACAGAGTATTCATTAGTCTTTCTTAAACTACAGATAGCCAGATATCTTATACCCTGTATACTAAGCCTTTTATTCTCAATCACATTTAAGGGAAATGACATAAAAGAATATTCAAAGGGGTACTCTTTAAAGCAAGGAGAGCCTGTTTGTGGTGTGAAATTCAATCCTTTGATGAAAGCAAAGGTAGAGTTTTTGAGGTAGAAGCATTTAAATCCTGTTCTTTAATTGTTGTATATTTTAAATCAGTGGATACTTTATAAAAAGTGTACATTGCCAGTCATGTAATGTTTTCTGTTAATATTTACTGTCTTATTTGGGAAAAGAAAACCTGTGTTGTGTTTCACTGTGCCCAGTTACTTAACCTGGAAATGGCAGCAGTGATTCAACCTTTTCTTCTGTGAATGTTTTCATTTTTATTATGAAAGATTTCAAAATTGAAAAGTATAGAAAATGTGTGTCTGTGTAACACCACCAAATTTAACAATGTTAACATTATACCATGTTTGTTTCTAATCTTTGTAATGTTGAACATTGTGGATAGAGTTAAAGCCCCCTTTGTGCCCATCTCATTCTATCCATTCTCCATCCTCCCTGTAGGTAACCATTATTCTGAAGTTGATGTATTATTTCTGTACATGTTTATATACCTTTTTTGCATATCTATGTATCCATAAATAATATGTAGTTTTTTGTGTGTTTTTAAACTTTACATGGTTGATCTCATGCTCTTACGTGTACTCTGAACTTTCATTTCTCACCCAACAGTTAATTGGAAGATTTGTTGATGTTAACAATGTTGATTTAGTTTTTTTTAAACTGTATAGTATTCTTCTGTATGATATACACCTATTGTTAGACATTGGGATTATTTCGTGTGCATGTGTGTGGTGTGTAAAGTGAATATGGCAGAGATTTTTGAAGGAAAAGATAAATTATATTAGGATTATATTTACATCATCAATACCTACTTTCTTCAAGGTCAATGAAAATTTGGATGCCCAGAAATAAATACTTCACAATTGGGGGAATGAAATTATGTCTGTTGCACAGCTCGTTATTAGTAAAAGTCTTACTGTTAAACAATTGTTTTGTGTATGCAATACGTTCTTAATCATTTCTTTGAAATATTTAAATTTTCAATATTCAATTAATAGTTTTTTTTCCTTCTGCTTAGAAAATACTGTTTATCTTTGATGGAGAATCAATTTAAACATTTGTCCTGTATTGAACACTTGAAAAATGTTTCCTATACCTGAGACATTTAAGTAAATTTAATTTCTAAGTCAGCTAAGCAGATGGTTATTCTCTGTCTTTGCATGGAATTTTACTAGGTAGCTACTTTTGTTTTTTTTGTTGTTGTCATTGGCCTCCTTTTTTGTGGGGAAGGAAATACTGTTTTGTAATCTCTTTTTTCCCCCCATCCACGTAAATATAAAATTCTCAGAAACTGTGTTCTTAAATGTGACTCCCTACAAATTAATTATAATGGATTCTTCTCAGAGTGTATATAAGATTCTTTAACTGTTGTTACTATTGGAAAGATCACATATAGTGGAGGTTTGTACATAGAGTAGCCCTCCAACATTAGTCCAAAAATACACGATGTTTCATTAGAAACCTTGGAACATGTCTTTCTGTGTAATATTACTCTGATAGAAAACTAAAGTATTGGAGAAAAAAAGTACTTATTTTTAAAATTTTATGCTATTGGGAAAAATGTTTTCTGTAATTAGTCATGTTTCATGATATACTATTAGGATTTTTAAGTAGTTTTTCTAATTGAATTACCTTTACCAAATAACATTAAACTAGAAGAGAACTCTGGCACTGAGAATAATATGAAAAGGCTTTGTATCTAAGATTGAAAAATGTGTAAATGGGGTCACTTGTTTTATTTTCTTTATTTTTGTTTAAATTGAGTGCACTTTTCTAATAGAATCAAAGAGTAATTTAGGGATTCTGTTAAACTTAGTTTCTTTGTTATGGATATGGTTTTTTCATTTTTTTCACCATAATCTTGTTAATTTGCAATTTTACCAGATTATAAAAATTGGGATTTCCAAACACATTGATAGTTTTCTGTGTTCATTAGAATTACTTTTTTAAATGTCATTGTTTAAGTTATTCAATATATTAGTCCAGAAAATAGCCATTTCCAAAATTTATATGAAATACATTGATCATTAGTGGGTTTTTAATTTTAAAAAGACTTGAGTGAATGAGATGCTCATAGTTTATAGGATATTTTGCTACAAAATACACTGAATAAATTCAAAGCGGACTATTTAGCGTTCTTTTTTAACATTACGGTTCTAAAATGAGCCAAGTTCTGAATTATGGACTCAAAATAAGTTAGAATGAGTTGAGTTGAATGTCAAATGACCCCGTATTGATAGGTCATCATTGATTCACAACACTTTCTTGCTTCAGTACTGTGGGCAGTACTGAAGTTAACGGGAAGAAGATAAACTTAAAAGAGCCAATAAACTTGTTAAGCATTTAAACGCATTGGGAAGAGAAGAGAGTGATGATACAGTGGAACATGAAATAGTGTCTGATACATGTCAGAATTTTAAGTTATTTAGATTCCATCCTACTGATCCTGGACTAAATCAAAAGAGTCATAGGGATGTAAACCCCTTATATTTAATACAATTTTAATATAATTTGTGTTAATTGGGTTTAGGAGAGAAGTATAAGGAAGTCCCCGTCCTTTGTTTTATTGGGAGACAAGACATAACAGGTGAAACAATTACATAACAGTAATAAAATATCTGATAAAGGGTTTTAACCCAGTCCTTATTGAAAGCCCATGAAAGCATTTCACAGATGAGGCAGTTAAGGCACAGAAAGGTCAAGTTTCTTGACTGAGATTTTACAGTAGGTATGTGCCAACACAAAATTTATATAAAGCTATTTTATTCCACAGACTTGGGATAGTAGAAAATTAATCTCTTCCTTAATTTCTGCTATCCCAAGTCTGTGGAATAAAATAGCTTTATATAAATCTATATAAATTTCACTCTCCCTGGTGGTGCCTGTTGAAGGAATTGTGATAGAGAAGGAAATAGTACACCTGACGCTAAAGTTATTAAGGCTCTTGGCAGCAGAGGTTTCTTATTTGTGAGCTTGGTTTACTAAACAAAAGGGAGCTATTCTAGATTCTTGAGGAGGGACCTAACATGATGAAAGTGATACTGTGTTTAGGAAGCAAGTATGGCAATGTCATGAATAATGAATTGGAGGTGGAGAGGGAAATAAGAGCTTTAGGTAGCAAGACCTTTTACTATAATTCAGATGCAGGAAAATGAAAGTCTGTTCCAGTGTAGCAAATGGAATTGTAAAGAAGAAACCGAGCTCCAGTATATTAGCAAGAAAGTGCTGGAAGATTTGGTGAATGATTAAATATGAAAGAGAAGGAATCAAGGGTCACTAGTAGTGTTTTGAGTCTTGGGGCCAGGTTTAGATTTTTAAAGTGCAGTTGAAAGCTTATGAAAATTTTCAGCAGAGGAATGACATGATCCAAACTAGTAACATCAGTGTGTGGAATTGAAGAGAGGCAATAACTGGAAGAGTAACTGAAAGATAACAGCCTAATCCAAGAAGATATAATGTTGAATCGGGTTAGGGTGATGTCAGTGGAGATAGAGGTGGATGGATTTGAGATATATATATAGAAGATAGAATTGACAGGACATGCTGCTGGGTTAGGTATTTGGTAATCAGGAAGAAGATGCAGTCAAGAGGAAAAATAAGCAATTGGAAAGAGTAGAGAATCAGGAAAACATGTTGTCTTGAAACCAAGGGAGAACAGAATTTTGGTAAGGAAAGGAGTGTCAGTCAATGAATGGAATGCCTCTGGGCAGGAGGTTGGGAAGAAAGTTGTTGAGAACTTTGTGTTCTTTTAGAATTGTTTACATTTTTTATGGGGCATAGTAGCACGGACATGGATTTAGAGCTGAGTACTCTTGAGTTTTTTTATTTCATTATTTCAAATTTTCTGAGCTAATTTTCTCGGAACTTTACCTTTTATTTATTTTTTTATTTTATTTTTTTAAAAATTTTACTTATTTATGTGATAGAGAGATAGCACAAGGAGGCAGAGAGGCAGGCAGAGAGAGTGAGGGAGAAGCAGACTCCCCACCGAGCAGGGAGCCTGATGCGGGGCTCTATCCCAGGACCCTGGGATCATGACCTGAGCCGAAGGCAGTCGCTTAACCAGCTGAGACACCCAGGTGCCCCTAAGCCTTACCTTTTAAATGATGATACTACCTACATCATGTGATAGTTGTGAATTAATGTATAAAAAATGCTTTAGCATGGTATGTGACACATAAGCTCAGTAAGAACTATAGTCATAATTTCATCATAGTCCTCTTTTCCAATGAGGAAAGAAAAATCTAAGAGGTTAAATACTTTGCTGAGTCAAAAATAGTGGACAGTGAAACTGAGTGGTGCTCAGGTCCTAATTCTAGTCTGGGGTTATTCTCATTATATCCAAATATATGTGGATTTTAGGAAGGTATTATTGTTTTTAGCAATATCATCAGGTCTGTCTTGGACTATATGTTATACCATACTATATTTTAAAAATCCATCTCAAAAAAAGTTTAGGTCAGCTACCCATTAGGAGAGCTAGATGTTGCATAATATGTCTGGTTAATCGCACTCATTTTCAGACTTCTATATTGATTTTGAATCTGTAAATTGAAGTCTACAAATCTGATATTTCTATTTTCCCTTTAAAAAAATAAGTATTCCTTTTGAAAAACTTCGGCTCTTTATTCAATTTCATCAGCGATTGGGGCAAAGATAGGGTTGATTTGACAAGCAGTAGGATCTCAGATATTTCATGAGTGGATTTTATTCATGTTAATATACTGGAGAGGAAAACTGAAACTGGTAATCCATTGGTTTGTTAGACAAATGTGTCACAGGTGCCTTTGTGAGTATACTGTAAAAACTGGAGAGACCCTTTCCATAGAAAAGATGTTAAAAGCACCAAGTTATTTATTTTTAAGATTTTATTTATTTGACAGAGAGAGAGACCGCAAGAGGGAACACAAGCAGGGGGAAGTGGGAGAGGGAGAAGCAGGCTTCCAGCTGAGCAGGGAGCCCGATGCAGGGCTCGATCCCAGGACGCTGGGATCATGACCTGAGCCAAAGGTAGCCGCCTAACGACTGAGCCACCCAGGCACCCCAAAAGCACCAAGTTTTAGATACAATTCTAAGGTGTGATTTAGACCGTGAGTAAGAACCTTTGATTTAAACAGTATTCACCTCAAGAGTGTATTTTTAATATTTAATATCAGAAATGACCATTTCTCATAATAAAACTACATTGTGAAAATCTGATTCAGTAAAAGCTAAATTGTCAAGCCTCTCCAGCTCATGTCTTAACTTCCATCCTGGCATTAGACTTAATCACCTTTCTTATTTTTTTAAAAGACCAGAGCAAATATAACTGACTTTTTCTATTCTCCCTGCAGGCTCATTTTAAATCTGATTTCCATGGGGACATAGTGGTGATTAAATGTTTAGTTGGTGGAAAACTCTTAAGCTTCTCTTAGTTTAAACAGGCATTAATAATGTCCCAAAGATGTGTGTGCCATGCACAAATGAGCAAAAAATACAATACAAAGAACACAGCTGTTGAAAATGGACATTACTACTAAAACTGAGCTTGACTTTGGGATATGTAGGAAACCCTGCCATTTGACACTTTTTATTTTGTTTTAAATATTCTTGTGCAAGCTTTGTGCTTTCTTACCTAGGAGCTTTTACTGTGATCTTTGGAATAAGCAGTTAAAAGAAGTACTTCTTATGGTTATTTTTTGACTGAGATTGTAGGTTTCCAGGGAGGGGAGGAAGAAAGGATAGGATTTGTAACCCTTTTTGAGTAGATTTCATAGAGCTGGAAGATGCCTGCTCTGATGGGCAGTTTCCTATCCTCTATTAACCAACCAGAGATAGACTTAAATGATGTTTTCACATTTGACTTATCGAAAGAATTATCTGAGACCCTTGTTAAAAATAAGGTCTTGGGGCCTTCACTCCAGGGGAGAAGGATGGGAATTTGTATATTTAACCATCACCCAAGGTCAATCCTGTTTACATTGAAAAAGGATTCTAAATATAAATCCCATTTAGTTTCTGGGGTTTTGCCTGGCTTAGGGAGAAGACTTTAAGAAGAAACAAGAAAATGATGAAGAAGGGGACTCAGTTACCTTAAGTCAGACTTCATTGCTTCCCTGGACTTTTGCTCAGAAGATAGATTGGAACCAAATTGGAAAGGGCCTTGGGTGCCTGGATAAAGTATTCTGGATTTCATCCTGTTGTACTAGTGATCTCCCAATTGGAATGCACAGTATAAAGCATTGAGATTTGAGAAGAAACCTGCTTAGATATTTTAATCAAAAGAAGAAATTGACTCTTGCTAATACTTAATAAGCAGGTGGTCAGAAGTAAAAAAAAAAAAAACAACACACAGACATGGTATTTTAAGAGTAACACTTCCATGACAAGTGTTCCCTAACTACTGTGAATTACGGTAGCCTGCATGTGCAGATTAATATTTACAGATATTTTCCAATTTAAACTAATCTGTAACCCTAACAAAATGAATGCATGCCATAAAAAGGCCTAAAAAAAAATAATGTAAATGCAAATGAACATGATAATGGTAAAACTGACGTTTATACTCCCAGTTAATCTGTCAGCCAAGTAATAATGCAGAAATAATGATAAAATAGATCTCACAAGGGCGCCTGGGCGGCTCAGTCAGTCGGGCATCTGCCTTCAGCTTGGGTCAGGATTTCAGGGTCCTGGGATCGAGCCCTGTGTTGGGCTCTCTGTTTGGCAGGGAGCCTGCTTCTCCCTCTCCCTCTCCTTCTCTCCCCTGTTTGTGTGCTCTCTCTCAAATAAATAAATATAATCTTTAAAAAAAAATAGATCTCACAAGAAGTTGCTTTTCCCCCAAAATTCAGAATTATTAAAAGGATGACATTAAATATGGATTTGTATCTACTGTCATTTGTGGGTGTACTGTGCCCTAAATATATCTTGGGTCTTAAAATGCTAACTAATAATGGTATGGAGCCATAACAGTTCAAATATTTTAAAATGTTGCTTGCTTTATCTTTATATAAGGCTTTTTATCTCATTTTAGTGTGTGTTTTATAGAGTATTGCTGTACTAATACTATATTCCTGAATATAATGTATAAGTAATTTGAAACATACAAATAGAGTATTGGAGATCACTGTTTATGAAGCTGTTTCAAGGAGAGCTCTAAGAAGTTGACTCGAGTAAAGTACATGAACCTGAGTGTTTCCTAGACCTTTAACCAGAGGAGCTCTGTCTTTATCTTTTTTTTTTTTTACATGAAAATTCTAAGTAAAATTTTGTTTGTAAAAAGTGCTGCTGGGTTGTTTTGTTTTTTTGAAAACAACATACTTTTTTTTTCTTTAAATTTTTTATTGTTATGTTAATCACTGTACATTACATCATTAGTTTTTGATGTAGTGTTCTATGATTCATTGTTTGTGTATAACACCCAGTGCTCCACGCAGAATGTGCCCTCTTTAATATCCATCACCAGGCTAACCCATCCCCCCACACCCCTTCTGCTGGGTGTTTTTAAAGATTTCAAAACCTTTTCTGTATATGGTGGGAGCCATGGAAAGTTTTTTTTATTTATTTATTTAAAGGTGAAATATATTTTCCTTTGTTACACAGCTAGAAAGTGTAGAATTTTTTTTTTAAAGATTTTTATGTATTCATTTCAGAGAGAGAGCGAGCAAGTGGGGGGAGAGGCAGAGGGAGAAGCAGGTTTCCTGCTGAGCAGGGAGCCTGATGCAGGGCTCGATCCCAGGACCCCAAGATCATGAGACGAGTCGAAGGCAAACGCCCAACCGACTGAGTCACCCAGGCGCCCCACGGAAAGTTTTTAAATGAAAAGAGTGACCTGATAAAATTTAGAATACATGGTGGCAAATTTTCCTTCCAAGGAGCACAGCCAGAGGAAAGGGAGAACACAGCTTTCCAGGTATTGTTCTTACCTGATTAAACAGCAAATAAGTATTAATCTGAGGCCTGGGTTAATTGAAGGATATTTTTCATTTACAGATTAGAGCTATCAGTATCGAAGTGTTTTCATTTTGAAGACTTTGTTAATCTGAGGCTCACTTTTAGTATTATATTTTTTAACATCAAGTCATAATATTTAGAAGTATTAGATGAACAATTATTAACTAATATATAAGGTATTTTTGTAGATTATATATTTGGTAATTAGGATATAAACTCATGTATATTTTTTTAAATGTATATTTAATGTATATTTTCTGAAAAAGTTTTAACTGTGTTAAACTTTCATTGTTATATATCCTTAAAAAATTGGCCATTTCATTTGAGTGTTGCATAATGATTTTTGTGTTTAGATGTGTCTATGTTTTAATTTAAACCTAAACTCTAGTTTTTAATAAAGGGGTTGACAACTTTTTCCTAAAAGCTTAACTGACTTCTTGGTAGGGATACAATTAAGGACATTAGTAGAAAAACACCTAAACCCTGGGGTTCTTAATTTTTCTACAAACTAAAATAGGTGCTGAAATAGGTGCTGTTGATAATACTTAGAGCTAGAGTATCTTCATTTCATCATTGTTTTGAATTCTTTCATATACTCAAGGCTTTTCCAGATTCAGGAGAGAGGCAGTAGAGGATTAAAATGTCTACATTACTGGGTGCCTGGGTGGCTCAGTCGTTAGGCGTCTGCCTTTGGCTCAGGTCATGATCCCGGGGTCCTGGGATCGAGTTCCATATCGGGCTCCCTGCTCTGCGGGAAGCCTGCTTCTCCCTCTTCCACTCCCCCTGCTTGTGTTCCTGCTCTCGTGCGCTCTCTCTCTCTCTCTCTCTCTCTCTCTCTCTCTCTCTGTCAAATAAATAAATAAAATCTTAAAAAAAAAGTCTACATTACTGCTTGGCCAAGAATGGTTGGACTACATTATCGTAGTAACATGAGCCAGAGCCTGCTACCCTGTTTTAATATTTTTTTTTGTTTTAGAAAATTCTCAGTGTCATTTTAGTACCCAAACAATTCCATTGCCAGTATATTACTAAGCTTCAAAGGATAACAAAATACAGCTACATGATGTCAGTTGAGTGTACACTAATTGCACACATCAGAGGGCATTTGTCACCACTATACTGTTTCCTCTCGTCTTGATTTGTACTTACACTTCGTAGTTATTTCTTTTCTACCTTTTCTAGTGTGATGATGTAAAAATCTTTATTTTTAAACAGGATACATTAATTGTTTGGTCGGAAGCTGAGAACTATGATCTGGCTCTAAGTTTTCAGGAAAAAGCTGGCTGCGATGAAATTTGGGAAAAAATTTGTCAGGTAAGGTTTTTTTAATAATATTTAAGTTTGCATTCTTGATATTTTTTCTTTTTACCTGAAAGATATGTATTAGAATGTGGAGAGAGAATGTGTTTTATCACTTTAGATTTTGATAGCATATATTCATAATTAATAAAAGGTCAGTAAATATGTTCTAAGTCTGAGGTTTTTCTTTAATATTTGGTCACCTGTTTGCCTGATGTTTATGAATACTGTGTGCCAGACACTAATGATCAAAAGTGCTCATGACTTCAATTTTGAAAGAACTTATAAAAGGTGGTAACTCTCAGGTAACTGGAACTTTTTTTTTTTTCAAGATTTATTTATTTTTAGAGAGAGAAAGCACACACACAGGCGGGAGGAGTAGAGGGAGAGAGACTCTCAAGCAGCCTCCACATGGAGCCCAACGTTGGACTCAATCCCACGACCCCGAGATCACGACCTAAGCTAAAACCAAGAGTCAGATGCTCAACCCACTGTGCCACCCAGGCTTCCCTGGTACTTTTTTAATAAAGTTTTTATTTTAGGGGCGCCTAGGTGACGCATTTAGTTAAGCATCTGCTTTCGGCTCAGATCATGACCCTGGGGTCTTGGGATCGAGCCCCGCTTCGGGCTACCTGCTCAGCGAGGAGCCTGCTTCTCCCTCTCCCCCCACCCCATGCTCTTTCGCACACTTGTGCGCATGTGCGCTCTCTCTCTCAAATAAGTCTTTAAAAGAGAAGTTTTTATTTTAGAAGTTCAGATTTATAGAAAATATGAGCAGAAAATACAGAGAGAGTTCCTGTGCACTTCCCTCCCTAACACCTTCTCCTCCAGTTTCTCCTGTTAATAGTTTCTTAAATTAGTAGGATACAGTGGTCATAATTGATGAGTTAATATTCATACATTATTATTACTATTCATTATTATTATTCATACATTATTATTAGCTAAAGGCTATATTTTATTCAGATTTCCTTGGTTTATTTTACGTACTTATTTTTTTAGAGAGAGAGCGAGCGTGCAATTGAGTGTAGCGGGGGCAGAGGGAGAGAGAGAGAGTCTTAAGCAGGCTCCATGCCCAGCACAGAGCCTAACTCAAGGCTTGATCTTAAAACTCTGAGGTCATGACCCTGAGATCATGACCTGAGCTGAAATCAAGAGTCAGTTGCTTTAACCACTTGAGCCACCGAATGAGCCACCAAGGCGCCCCAGAGTTCCTCAGTTTAAAACCTAGTGTCCTTTTTCTGTTCCAGGATTCCATTCAGTATACCATATTACATTTAGTAGTTATGTCTCCTTAGGCAAATATAGTCTGTGACAGCTGGTAACTGGAATTTTAAATTAATCGTAACATTTTAACTATTATTTTCTGTAAATGGAATCACTGTTTCAGCAGTTGCCTAGTGTAATATTCTGTTCTAGTGTTTTTTTACTGTTGTCATTTTCTCTTCTATCAGCTTTTCTTTATAGTGATTCTGATCACTGAAGGTTCTTGAGTTAGTTTTAATGCATCTGACCACAGTAATTTTTTTCCATAGTCCTCCCAGTAACAGTGCCACACAGTGCAAGAAAGTATGAACCTTCTCATTCTATATAAAGCTTATTTAACGGCTGGCTCTAGGTCACAAATCTGAACTGGAAGTAGATGGTTTGTTTCTTTCCACCTCATATCTTACTATGTATGTATCAGGTATTAATGGAGCATTATTAGTATACGTGATTAAATAGAAGAATTTCCATTGATGAACAGGTGAAAACACTGGTAAATATGATTTTGCTTTAATTTGTAAAATATACCTAAGAATATAATCCAAATTGTTTTGTTATTATTTTGCCTTTGTGTTTTGCGTGTCTTTAAACCTATGGGTGGTGATGATGGGAAAGTCCTAATACTTACCCTTTTTTTTTCCTTGTGTGCTCTCCACAGATTGAGATTGAATTTTATGTTTGCAAAGTTTTCTATAAAGTGAGATGTAAGACTTAAAAATGACCTCTATTGCAGATTCAGACATATGCAGTTCACAAGTATTTGCTGCTCTGTTCTTGATTCAGAATCATGCATGGGTTCATCTACAAAATGAGGGGAAAAAACTGGTCCATGAAAATAATGAAAGCATACTGAAAGATATAAAACTTTAAAAATAAAAGAGGGAAAGATTACTTTTCTATAATGTGGGTTTAAAAGCTGTTCAGAATATTAATAGTATATAAAGATTAACCTTTTTTATTATAAGTTCCTGAAAAGTGATGTTTTATTTTGTGTTCTCCCTCCTCTGATATACCAGCATGGCAACTGGCACATGTTGTGTGTGTACTCAGTACCTATTTAAAGAATGAATGAATAAGACAGAAGATAAACATCTTTCTTAGAACTAGGATGTTGGAATTCATTTCTGCTAGAACATATATTTATATGGTGGATAATATTTTCCAGTGATCAGCATATTACATTATGCCTAGTCCCTTCCCAGACATCAGCATGTACTGTTTAATATTAGTTCCTGGATATACATAGATTCTTGAAGAGTTGGTGCATTTGTCCTAGAAAGTTTTGTTGAAATTTGTTTTACTGTTTTCACTCATGCAGTTCAGGAGTTCCCACAGCCACTGTCAGGTTCACTAATTCACTAGGAAGACTCACAAAGCTCCACAAAGCTGTTAGATTCATTGTTAAAGTTTATTACAATGAAATAATACAGATTAAAATTACCAGTGGGAAAAGGCACATAGGTCAAAGTCTAGGAGGGTTCCAGGCACGAGCTTCCAGTTTTCTTTCTCAGGATACTTAAGCAGACAGCACTAATTCCAGCAGTGTTGTGTTGCAACCTGCACATAATATTGCTGACCAGAGAAGCTTACCCCAACCTTTGTGTCCAGTATTTTCATTGGGTGTTAGTCCTATAAGCAGGCTGACTGCTCTGTGGCTGACTAGTTTCCAGCACCTCCACAGGTTGAGCTGATACTGCATGGCCCAAGACCTCCACTATAAACCACCTAGTTACCCACACAAAGAATGTCTGGCATAGCCCAGGGCTCCCAGGTAAACAGAAAACACTCATATCAGACAGGATATTAAAAGTGCTTAGAGGTTACCTCTCAAGAGCTAGGCAAAAGCCAAATCTTTCTTCAGGCAAGACTAATCCTTGACTGCAAAGGCCACCCGTTGGCCCATTGCCAAGACTCTCACAGCACAGTGATTATATTTGTCTAAGCATCTATATTTAGCATAGCATTTATATGACAGAGCAAATATCAATATGAATATGCCTGATATTTGAAGGAGCCATTCTGGGGTAGGGATATATTTAAAGAAACAACTAATCTGTTTGATAAAGCCATGATTTTCTTTTTATATTTTATACTGATTACTCATTTTTCTCCTTGATCTGTTGCAGTTTGTACCTTAATGATAAACTTGTACAGAAGTGTTTAGCATAGAAGTTAACTGACAGTTAACAAAATCCATTTCTTCCTCCTGCCAGTCATTTTCTTTGAGCATTGATGTTGAGGAGGCTTTAACTCCGTTTCCCAGCATTAATGTTATATTAATATTATGACGCTTATGTACCTAAGGTAGTTGGAGCAACAATGCTAGTATTATGCCATGTTGCAGTATGGTAGTAGATGAGACCTGAAAAGTAGGAGTCTGGCACATTACTAGAATCGTTAACAGTTATTAACAATTGTTTCAGTTCATCAGGTTTATTTACAGGCCTCCATTCGACCTTGTCAAGTCCCAAGAATAGGTGATCTTGGCAAACATATGGCTTTTACCCTTCCAAGCACCTGATACAATTGAGCTAAGAGAATATCATCTCTTGCTCCGATCCTTTCTTGAGGCACTCGTGTTAATATCAGATTTCTCTTGTAGCTTTACCCATTTATTCATTCCTTTGCCCTTGGTTACTATTTCTTCCCATTTGTCAATGATCTTTACTCACATTTTTCCACCTTTGGAACGGGTGCTAGATTTGGCCACTCTGCTGGTCCAGGAAGTTTAATTTTTTACTAAACAACTGAGTACTGTACTTTTTTTTTTGAGATTTTATTAATTTTAAAGAGCAAGAGAGCATGAGCAGGATGGAGGGAAAGGGAGAAGCAGACGCCCTGCTGAGCAGGGAGCCTGCATGGGGCTCGATCCCAGGACCCTGAGATCATGACCTGAGCCGAAGGTATATGCTTAACCAACTGAGCCACCCAGGTGCCCCGTGTACTGTACTTTTTAAATCTGTGCATGTTGCTGAATATAGATTTAGTTTTTTGCTCCTCACAACTGCCTGGTATTCCACAGAACCATACGTTGTCTTACTTTCCATTTCTGAGAAGCCCTTGCTGGCCTTTGAAAAAACAACTTTAATTTCAACAAAAATCATATTACTCAGTCACTTCTTAACTCCTTATAATGAGATAGTAAAACTCTGAAAAGTGTAACAGTTCAGAGAACAATAAATTTCTTAAGGAGAATGGTGAATAATAGTGAATAATTTTTTATCTTAGATAAAGATTTATTACTTAGTCATTAGAGTCCTTCACTTTCTCAACATTATACCATATTTTGAATTGTCCCTTTGGCAGGGCAAGGCACCACTGTAAGATTTAGAACAGGGGAGATGTATGCCTGTGTATTGCAAATGGGTGAAAGGCAGCCGTGACGGGGAAGGAGGGAGAAGATCAGGCATGGCATGTGGGAAAGCCCCAGAAGGCCACACTAAGGTGCAACCAGTCATGCGGCTCTACCTACGTCTCTCTGAACTGTTTCCCCTCTCTGAACTGTTTCCCTAGAGTCTAGGATATAATTCTGCTGATATCCACCTTGGCCATCATTAGTGCTTAATGCACCAAAGATGTGGGGTCCCTGTTCAAGGTCCCTTATAAATTTTTTGGCTTCAGTCCAATTCTTTTATGTGTGGAAGAGGAAGAAGTTATAAAAAGAGCTAAGATAATTTCTGTATATATAGCTTTTAGAAAGCATAAAGTCAAAAGTACGTTTGGAAGCATTAACCTCAGAAAATGGGAAGGTAGAGACATTTTCTTTGAAAGAGATGATGGAAATGAGTGAAAGTAAGTTGTGAGATGGAGAAGGGTGTTGGATATTGGAATATGTTGAATACCAGTGGTCTCTTTTTTCAAAGGAAAGATTTTCCTGAAATTTAAAGGGGAAAGTAATAGTGTTTGACAAACGGGAAAAAGTTAAAGCAACAGCTGTAAAGGAAGTAAGCTAGAAGTGTGGAAAAGAAATTTTTGTTGAGAACTCTACTGATAGTGTAAATTTTTTGTGAACACACTCAGCACAATTAGTTAACGGACTCGTGCCACTGTTGGTTCTGACTCATGCCACAGAAGGGAGAATGTTAAGGTCAAATTGTGTTATAGTAACAAAATCCTAAAATCTCAGTGGCTTATCACAACAAAAGTTTGTTTTTCCTTAATGCTATTTGACCAATGAGGGACAGAGTTGGACAGGAAGCGGCTGTGGTTATCAGATCCACTCAGGGACCCAGGTTGAAATAGAGAATTCATTTTAATACTTCCAAGATCATTGCAGTGTGAAAATGAAAGGTAGCAAATCAGAGCCTTGGCTTTTAAAAGTTCTTCCAGAAGTTACACATGGCACTTTTGCTCACGTTTCTTTGGCCAGAACAAATCACACAGCTACATATGACTTCATGGAAACAAAGAACTTGTGCCACAAAAGGGAAAGAACCAGAAATACTTGATGAACAGCATTATTGACATCCAGACAGTCACTTGGGTTTATGTGGGATCGACAGATCATATCAGTGAGTGTTAGATTTAGGAGAGAGTCCAGGAAGCTTGTAAGGGTGGTACTGGATAACACAGAAGTAAACATACTATAACCTAGTAAATGCTTCTGTAGCTGTGCTTTTATTCTGAGACATACATAAACTATATTCATTTGAAGTGTAAGTTAAAGAATTTACTTTTAAGTAATCTCTACACCCAACCTGGGGCTCGAGTTCACAACCCCAAGATCAAGAGTTGCACACTCCATAGACTGAGCCAGCCAGGCACCCCTCCTGTGATTTCTTCTTCTTTCTTTATAATCTATGATTCTTCTTCGTCTTCCTTCCCCACTTCATACTCTATTTCTGTTTCTCTGGTTACTGTCAGAGTCTTCTGGCTTTAAGTGTTACCCTAATACCAGATTTCTATCTTCTGTCCTACTCTTTTTCCTGAGTAGGAAAGTAGCAACAGATTTAGTTGCCAGCTGGGTATTCAAACACCTTAAACTTAATAGAACTGAACTTTTACTAACCATTCCTCTCCCACACTCTTAGTTTTTATTAAAGGAGCCATAATCTTCCTAATGACAGATTTAAAACTATAGGGTCATTTGTGGTTCCTCCTCTCTTTTGTACCTGTCCCTATCTGTCCCACCATCACTATCCAAATTCAGTTGTTCATGTGGACTGTGGAATAACACCCTAATTTATCTATATTCTCAAATTTATCCCATACAACTGATGCCAGGTTGACTTTCTAAAGGACAGTGCTGCACATTCACTTCCCTGAACAATAACTCAAGTGTTCTAGCTTGACTTTCCATAATCTGGCTTTAGTCCACATTTCCGATTATGTTGCCATTAGCTGTATGCGTGTCACACATTTCCACTCTCTGCCTCTACTATTCCCTTTGCACTTTGCATGCCTTTATCCCCATCTGAATCTTACCCATCTTTGAAAGTCCAAAGGCGTCTTTGAAGATCTCAAATGCCACTGTTTTTATGATTTCTTCCTTAAAGTCTCTCCTCACCGCCCCCTGTACTCCCAAGAGCTGGAAGGAATTTCCCTTCGTCTGAATTTCCATAGTATTTTATCTGAACTGCTCTTAACGACCTTGTTACTCACCCTCTTATATTTATGTGTCAGTCTCCCTAAACCCAGCTACTCTGTTGAGGACTCAGAAGTAAAAGTACTCTAGGAGAAAAATTATCTTATGTGCACCAGTGTATCTGTCTACTTTCTCTAAGCTCTTAAGTCTTTTTTCTTGTTGTTTTGGTGGATTTGGAAATTTCTGGAGCTTTTTCATCTTAGGATATTTGGATATTTTGAAGTGAAAAGAGGATAATTGCACTCTTGTGTTAGGAATTAGAAAAAATTTATAAAGAATAAAGTTTTTATGTTAGTCATTATAGAAATCATAGAAAACTTGTTAAAAGGTAGCCATGCTTTTCTTGAGCTGTCAACATGAATCATAAAGCAGTTTTTTATTTATTATGTTTTCTAGATGTTATAACTTGGAGGCTTTATCACAGACGTTAAATGAATGCTAGTTTTTAAAAGAATATTCTTTGTTTTTTTCTTATCTTTTTAAAGATTTTATTTATTTGAGAAAGAGAGCACAAGAGCGGGATGTGAGGGGCAGAGGGAGCCTGATGCAGGGCTCAGTCCTGGAACTCCAGGATCATGACCTGAGCCGAAGGCAGACACTTAACCGACAGAGCAACCCAGGCGCCCCAAGAATATTTTGTTTTTTAGAGCAATTTTAGGCTCATAGCAAAAGCAACTATTTGTCCAAAAGTGAATTTCAAAAGTAATTTGAGGAAATCTCACTCTTGAATATACAAAGAGTTGGGTTTTAGTTTGGTTTAAACTTAGTAGCGTTTGGGGTGCCTGGGTGGCTAGTTGGTTAAGCATCTGACTCTTGATTTCAGCTCAGGTCATGATCTCAGGTTTGTGAGATCCAGCCCTGCATCAGGCTCCAGGCTGGGCGTGGAGCCTGCTTAAGATATTCTGTCTCTCTTTCCCCGCCTTCTCTAAAATATATGTATATACACACACACACACATATAATATAAATATGGCCATAAATATGGCCATGATATATATATTATACATATATAAAAGTAATAAACAGTAGTGTTTTTGTCAGGCCAATGTGATGGTGCATTAAAAGTCATACATAGAGGGGCGCCTGGGTGGCTCAGTTGGTTAAGCGACTGCCTTCAGCTCAGGTCATGATCTCAGGGTTCTGGGATCGAGCCCCCGCATCGGGCTCCCTGCTCAGTGGGAAGCCTGCTTCTCCCTCTGACCCTCCCCCTGCTTGTGTTCCCTCTCTCTCTCTCTCTCTCTCTCTCTCTCTCTGTCAATTAAATAAATAAATAAAATCTTTAAGAAAAAAAAGAGTCATACATAGTAATTCGGGGGACCCACAGAAGAGTTAACCTGCAAAATTCAAAATTAGTTGGAATAGTGAAGTTACTAAACAGCTGCACATGGTTATTACATAACATCACATAAATCAACGTAACATTAGCTTAAATGTGCACATTGTCAGGGATCAGAGTTAACTTCAAGTTATAAGTTGGGAAATTTAGAGGTGAAATTGAGACTCGAGTAATTGACTCTAAACTGGATATGTTTTCCCCCTCTAGACTTCACTTCTAACTAACAATGGCTATGTGGCTGATATTGTTTCTTTGCAAGGTATTTTTACTTAAATTCAGTGGTCAGTGATTTGATTTCCAAAATTTTGAATTCTTTTGTATTTTAAGGTAACCAGCTGTACTTGGATGTTTTTAGGTTCAAGGTAAGGATCCATCAGTGGAAGTCACACAGGACCTCATTGATGAATCAGAAGAAGAACGATTTGAAGAAATGCCTGAAACCAGTCATCTGATTGACCTGCCCACATGTGAACTCAATAAACTTGAAGAGATTGCTGACTTAGTTACCTCAGTTCTCTCCTCACCTATCCGTAGGGAAAAGCTGGCTCTGGCCTTGGAAAATGAAGGCTATATTAAAAAACTACTGCAGCTATTCCAAGCTTGTGAGAATCTAGAAAACACTGAAGGCTTACACCATTTGTATGAAATTATTAGAGGAATCTTATTCCTAAATAAGGCAACTCTGTTTGAAGTAATGTTTTCTGATGAGTGTATCATGGATGTTGTGGGATGCCTTGAATATGACCCTGCTTTGGCTCAGCCAAAAAGGCATAGAGAATTTTTGACCAAAACTGCAAAGTTTAAGGAAGTTATACCAATAACAGACTCTGAACTAAGGCAAAAAATACATCAGACTTACAGGGTACAGTACATTCAGGACATCATTTTGCCTACGCCATCCGTTTTTGAAGAGAATTTTCTTTCTACTCTTACGTCTTTTATTTTCTTCAACAAAGTTGAGATAGTCAGCATGTTGCAGGTGAGTAAGCAAAGGTGTTCTTATATTTTTTTCAGATACTTACTTCCCTTAATAGTTGGAGGTGGTATTAATTCCTTTTTGAAAGATTTGTTTACTTTAAATATACTGTCAGGCATAGAAAACAGGACTTTATCTCATGGGTTTTTGAAGGAGAATCCTTTCTTAATGTGATCTTTTACATTTTTAAGTGTTCTGTGATGGAACTATTTTAAACTTCATTTTTACATACATTTTAGAAAAATTACAAAATATATATGACATAAAATTGATCATTTTAACCATTTTTAAGTATATAATTCATAGCATTAAGTACATTCACAGAACTTTTAAGTCCATTTCCAGAACTTTTTCATCATCCTGAACAAAAACAGCTATTTTAAGACTATCTTTTAGTCCATTTTCTGAGACCTAGTTATTATTAGGGGGGTATATATGAGTGTGTGTGTATGTGTGTCTGTGTGTGTGCACGCGCACTTAAAGCTTCCTGAATAATTCAAATGTGCAGGCAGTACTGAGAAACATTAATCTTCAGGAAATGATAATTAAATTATTTACTATGTGATGTTGGTTTTATTCCATCTCCTTGGGTTGTAAAATAGGAATTTATACTGTGTTTATCATGTTAATCCTTTATACCCTAACAGTGTAGTAAGGATGATTTTGAAGATTTTGCTTTACTTGTGGTAGTATACGATACCCACAGTTTCCTACATAACTGCCTTTGTTATGTCCATATCACTCATTAAATTTTTTGAGCAGCTTCTGTATACATAGTGTAGTGGTTCTCAAGTGTGTTCTCAGAGCTCCTGAAACCCTTTCAGAGAGGTCTGTGAAGTTTTTCCTTTTACAGCTTCTTGTTACTGTGAGGCGGTATTTTGTTCATATACTTCAACCAAAACAACATATCACAACAGATTGGATGTCAAAGAAGATATGAGAATATAGCTTTCTTCTATTAAGCCAAACATTGTAGAGATTTACAGAAATGTAAAACAGAGCCACTTTTTTCTAAATTTGTAAATTTTTTTCTAAATTTATAAAATTTTCTCATACAAAATATTTACGTAAACTTATAATAGCTTATTTCTAGAGCAAATTAATAAATGTTTCTAAATGTCTCAGTTTTGATTATAAATATTGATAAACATAATCCACATAATAAAAGCTCTTTGGAGACCTCCATCATTTTTAAGAGTTTAAAGTGGTCCTGAGACCAAAATGTTGAGAATCTCTGTCTTAATACTTAGCTATGAGATTCTACTTCATGATGCTTCCAACCATCATTCACCTTTCCCTTGTTACTGTATTTTTTGCACAGGATTTACTTCTCTAGATCATTCTTTCACCTCACAGTTTTTCCTTATTCCACAATAACAGGTATAAGGGAAAATTAGACTTATGAATGAGGTTCCATTTTTAATATATGGGACCTGCTTTTTTAAAACCATACTTGATGTACAATTCAGGGTGCCATTTGAATTGCTTAACAGAAAAACAGTTACAGTTAAAGAGTTTGGAAGTAGACTCACAGTCAGTGTAGCTGATGTAAAGTACCCATTAACAGAAACTCAAGTGCAGAAGCTTTCAAATGATTGCTTTTGACTTCAGAAGGGTTTCCAAATCCATAATACTGAATTATAAATGCTTTTTTATATTTTAAAAAATAAATTATGCAAATTATAAGTAAATATTTATAACACTTTGTCATTTTATATATTGTGTCATAGATCTATTTATAAAGGCTACAATTATATAAATCAAGTGTAGCTTTAAGAAAAGAAAGTCTTACTCATTTCTGGTCCATTAGATGTATTTATGAAATAGTCATATACTGTGAATTACCTGTTGTTTATCCAGGGTTTACCACTTAGTTATCTCTTATGTGTCAGCAGTGATGCTGAATTTTATTTTCTATTCTCAACAGTGTGTGAGAAGAAAGAAATTAGGATTATGGTGATTGGCCTCTAAAAGCTCATTTCCTAAAGCCCAGCTCTGAGGTTTCCATGTACAAAGTTTTTGGCTAGGTATTAGATGTTTCCAGATATCCTTCTAGCTAGGATACCTATCTGTAGCTTTATTTATTTGAGAAAGAGCAAGTGTGGGTGTGCACGAATGAGTTGGGAGAGGAGCAGAGGGAGAGGGAAGCGGGGGGAGAAAGAATCTCCAGCAGACTCCATGCTGAGGGCGGAGCTGGACGTGGGGCTCCATCTCACAACCTTAGCCAAAACTAAGAGTCAGACACCTAGCTGACTGAGCCACCCAGGCATCCTGATATCTGTAGCTTCTTAAATGAGTATTAACCAGCTGTTGTATGAGTTACATAAGCAAGTGAAAATATAAGAATTCTATTTATCTGAACCAAAATGAGTTAGTGCAAAGGTACATAAAATAACTCCTAGCCTGAATTAGGTTAATTAACAGAAATTATATGAAAGCACTTACTGTGGTCACTGGCTCCTGGTATGTACTCCAATACATGTTGAGATTCTCTTAAGCTTGATTGGGGCATAAGAGTTTAGTTAACCTGAACTTTCTAATTGCTTTTTTAATGTACATTGGAATAGAGTGCTTTTTAGAGTATTATCAAGAATAAAGAAATCAGAAAAAATATATATAATAGGAATTAGAAAATATTCTCCTAGCAGGCTATAATATACTTGAAATTGCTTCCATAATACGTTAAGCAGTTCTAGCTGTCAGCACACAAATAATGGATCATGGAAGAAATTGTATTTATCAAAGAATTGAAACTATTTTCCTATGAAAGTGTTCTCAAAAAAGTTAAAAAATCTTTAGACAAGAAAGGAAGATTTAATCTGGGAGAGATGGAAGAAGAAAAAAATTTATAAAAGGTATAAGTGCATAGTTATTCACCAAAACCTAAAATGTTGAGAGGAAAAGTATTTAGAAAAAGTGAGTTGAGAAGTAAGTATAATGCTGTTGAATTCTCTCAGAAACAGATGGTTCAGGCCATGGTGTATAAGGCCATAAGAAGTCAACAAAATAAAGAACAAAAACACCATTCTGAGTCAGACTAATGAACGGGAGTGGCTTTCAGTGTTCTTTGAGTAACACTGATGAATGGTTAGTGGGAGAATATGTTACATCGTCCATAATCTTACCTAGTGGTTTTTACTTAGATTTTTTATATATACATTTTATCTTATTTTAGAAAAACTTATTTAAAGGGTTGATACCACTTCACAGATGATCCACATTAAGTAAAAGGGCAGGTATTTAAGGTATATCCTTAACATGTCATGATTTGATTTTATTGTCAACCATGAAGGTATCACTATTACAAACATTCTTAGAACATGCTACCTTAAATAAAATTAATGCAAGTTGTATTTCATAAAAGTGAATTTTAAAAATAAGTGAAATTTAAAAGCATAGGTTTTTTTAGCAGGTTTTGATGGACATTTCCAAAGTGAATTTCAGAATTTATGTCAGTTTTTTCCTTTGTAATTTAATAAACCATACTTATTGTGGAAAACTGGAAAATATAGATAAGCAAAAATCACTCATAATCCATCACCAAAAGATAATCACAATTAACACTTTAATGTTTACCCCTTTTAGATTTTAGACACACAAATTTATATTAAAAATAAGATTATATAGTATGTACTCTACTATATTTTTTGTTTGTCCTTGTAAATAGTACTTAGATAAACTAACACATATCTGCCCTTTAATACCTCAGAGTCATCAGTCTGAAAAGCAGTTATTGTAGTGTTTATCATTTAGTTTTATCCTTGGGAACCATAAGAAAATGTAAGCCTGTACCCCAAATGGCCCTAGATAATTATATTCCATGAGTTTTTGTGTTTTAAAAGGCTTTGCAGTCTTACCACTGCCAGAATTCAGTCTCCATTACTGCCGTTCCTGTGCCATATTTGTAATTTCTCATTTTTCTAATCGGCCGATTGACAATGAGATCTTCAAACTTGTTTGAATTACACTTAAATTAAAAGTAAATAAATAGGGGCTCCTGGGTGGCTCAGTCAGTGAAGCGTCTGCCTTCAGCTCAGGTCATGATCCCAGAAGTCATGATCCCAGGGGTCTGGGATGGAGTCCCTCATCCGGCTCCCTGCTCAGCAGGCAGTCTGCTTCTCCTTCCCTCTGCCTCTTCCTCGGCTTGCGCATGCTGTCTCTCTCTCCCACTCTCTCTCTCTCAAATAAATAAATAAATAAAATTTAAAAAAAAAAAAAAGGAATAGACCCTGAGAGGGAGCTGCAGAGCCTTTAACTGCAGTTGAAATACGTGAGTTTTCATGTATGACTTCTAGAACATAAGTGGGTTTTTTTTGTTTTCCAAAGGGTTCTTTATAGCTGAAGTTTCTGGTTAAATGAGGTATTAATGTAATGTATAACTAATATTAAATGGTGTAGTCAGGGTTTGAAACTTACAACATGAATATACCCTGGAATTTTAGGTTTCATGTTGAAACTATTGGGTTTTCAGCTACTTTTATTATAATTTGTGTAGATCATACAAATGAGTGTAACTTTATACTGTTGTTAGGCTGTTTCATAGTAATTATTTCTTCTCATGTAGGAAGATGAGAAGTTTTTGTCTGAAGTTTTTGCACAGTTAACAGATGAGGCTACAGATGATGATAAACGGCGTGAATTGGTAAGTTACTTAATCCTGAAATTCGAACCTTTAAAGAGCACTTACTGTTGGCATATACAGCTTTCAATACTGAATTTGTTAAGAAAGAATTTTTTTATAAATATGAGATGAAAGATATGTATTTATACTATATAATTATTCTCAAAGTTTCTCAAACTTACTCTGTTGTATATTTACAAATTTCTTAAATTATTTTGATGAGGGGACTTGTGTGTCTTACAGATCCCAAAATTAGGTATGGGGTTTATGTTAGGACAGAACTACAAACTCATACATTTTTATGGCTGTAGGTACATTATAGAACAGCTTTTTTTTTTTTTTTTTTTTAAAGAAAAAAGGTAAGGACAGTGCTTTTTGAATAAATGCATGTAAGTAATTTGGTTCTTGGAATGTTTTTTTCTTTTGAATACGTGTATATTTTATGAGGTATAAGCCATGTTTGGTGGAAGAAGATAGTGATTGCTATTTACTAGCAGTTTGTCATTTTTTTTTTAAACATAATCAAGTGCTTGGGTTTTAAAAAGAAATGCAAGTGGAGCACTGGGTGTTATACACAAACAATGAATCATAGAACACTACATCAAAAACTAATGATGTAATGTATGGTGATTAACATAACATAAAAAAAAGAAAAGAAATGCAAGATTGCCAACTTAAAGTCAGCCAAGTCATCTTGGTATAGTTGATCGCCTGCTCAGTTTTCTCTTTTAAAAAATTAGTTCTTTAAACTCGGGAATGTCTAATGTCCTTTCCAATTCTTAAAAATGGAATTGTACTTTTGAGAGCCCCCTGAGGACCCAGCCACCATTTGTTATACAGCATGTTTCTGTGAAAATACATGCTCTAATTCAGGATACATGCCTTACATGACATTTTTGCAACCAAACCGTAAGTTAATATTATATGTGTATTCACCCACTGGGACTCCTCATATAACATGTACTCTATAATGTCTTTGGAGAGTTCATTGTTCAGTGTTAAGAAGTAATGCAAAGTTTACTTTTAGTGGGATGCTAGTTTTTAATATGTTATTTTAATATAGGTTTTAAGGAGCCAGGACACCCTAAAAAATCAAGGTCCTTTAGAAGGGCACAATCCACTGTGGTACATCACATTAAAGTGTGCCAACTTTGCTCTTATGTGTGTCAGCTTCTTACTATACTTTCTAATATTACAGGTTAACTTTTTCAAGGAATTTTGTGCATTTTCTCAGACATTACAACCTCAAAACAGGGATGCATTTTTCAAAACTTTGGCAAAGTTGGGAATTCTTCCTGCTCTTGAAATTGTAATGGTAATTATATAGCTTCTTTTCATGTTTGAAGTTGTGAATTTGTAGTAGTTCTATATTATGTATGTGAAAGTATTTATTATAGTAATGCATATTGAATTATATATATTAGGTTATGATTCACTTGATAGTGAATTACTACAAGTGTGTGTTTAGTCTTCGGATTTTATTAAATTTGTGATATTAATATGTAAGCACTTGCATATAATATGGCTTCAAGTGAATAAAAATCCCACATGCTTTTTTAAGACTGTTATTTCTTCTGTAACAGTATTATGTTTCATAGAAACTATTAAAATATCTTTCTTTTTTAGACCAGTGAGTAGAGTGAGCTCAGACTGGACCAAAGCAGCTCATGCTGCAGTATGGTTTAGGGCAGTGGTTCGCATACATTTGTTTATATGATTTTTATCCATTGGTATTGTATGAAAATTAAAACTGAAAAACTTTTAAATATTTATCAGTTCGTTTTAAGATGACCAAACATTTGTTACAAATAATATAACTTTTATGAAAAAATAATTTGCCAGAAACAAAAAAAATTTTAGTGAAGAATGGCGTTGTTTCACCTTTTTTCGCCCATCCCTTTAACATTTGGTATAGGCAGCTAGATTCTCATAGCAACTTCTGCATTTGCTTTGTTGTGATCCCACATGTCTCACTATACTTGTGATATCCTCAGAGTGAAAAGGGCCATTAATGCGCTAGTATTGTTTAGTATTATGAAAATAGTTTTAATCTCATGCACTTCCTGAAAAGGGTGTTGAACACCTCATCAAAATTCCCTGGACCACACTTTGAGAATGCTGAGTTAAGGAATGTTGTCAGAATCACTTGGAGATTTTGTAACTTACAAGTCATGTATCCTTTATCTATTAAAGAGGAAAAAGCATTCAGGATCACTACCTTAGAAAACTAAGATGTGGACAAAGAGTGAAAATACCCAGAGTGCTTTTCAAAAGCGTCCTCTCTTAGGAGAGTCATAAAAGAGAGAATCAGTTACTAAGGAGTAACTGGCAAATCCAGGACCAAAGACAGATTCTGGAAAATTTTGAAGTCTTAACTAGGTAACATCATTCAAATTTTGCATATAAATAAATAAAAAAAATTTTTTTACAGCATTTGTAAAGTGTAATAGTATAATCCTATGCTGATCCTTACATCAAAATTCTCTAAGTGTTTATATTTGTGATGGTGAAAACTGGCAGAAACTAATCATTGAGCTGCTTAAAAGCTTTTAATATTTATACAAGAAAAGGAAGAAAAGATTCCAATACAATGTCTGAATCCAAAAAGTTGGTGTGCATAGATTTGGGAAAGATAGGGAACATGGCATAATTTTTGTTAACAGTCTCTAACCTAATTTTCCTTTTACCAGGGCATGGATGATTTGCAAGTCAGATCAGCAGCTACAGATATATTTTCTTATCTAGTAGAGTTTAGTCCATCCATGGTCCGAGAATTTGTAATGCAAGAAGCCCAGCAGAGTGATGATGTAAGTAATAATTCTCTGATTCTATGTGAATTACCTGTAGTGTTTGCATACTATTGAGAAAAAAGTATAACTACAATCTAAATCTTTAATGAGGCAGAATAGATTTCTGATCAACTGTGACTTCAGCAAGCCCAGAATATGTGGCATTTGATTTGTTTATTGTAAAAACTGTATTCAAACTTGAGTTGAGATAAATAGATTATAATAGAATCAAGTTCTTCAAAAACGTTCAAGTGCTAATGATATGTAATTTCAAGCCCCTTAGGTCAGGCACTTCTAGTGTAACTAACAAGTTGCCTTCACTTGTTCAAATGTGTCTTTTTTTTCCATGTGAATAAATGTTTAATAATGAGACCAATGTGTTTTCCCACCACAGAAATACTTAAACTTTCCCCTTAAACTCTTTTAAGAACAAAATGAACATATAGCTACAATTTAAAGTACTCTTTCTTATATCAAATATGTTTTAGTGTTAAACAGAAAATAAATATAATTATGTTCCATCATAAAGAAGATTTTGATTTCTATTGTTAATTTGATCCTTGTTATGAGTTACTATTGAATTAAACTGCAGTTGTTTATGTTTTGTGTTTAATCTCATAATGTCTCCTTAGATATTTTTACATTCTTTGTTAGATATTTCCAGTGGTTTTTTTTTTTCCAAGATTTTATTTATTTATTTGAGAGAGAGAATGAGAGATAGAGAGCACGAGAGGGAAGAGGGTCAGAGGGAGAAGCAGACTCCCCGCTGAGCAGGGAGCCCGATGCGGGACTCGATCCAGGGACTCCAGGATCATGACCCGAGCCGAAGGCAGTCGCCCAACCAACTGAGCCACCCAGGTGCCCACAGTGTTTTGTTTTTTTTTAAGCAATTTTATTTTAGAATCAGTTTGAACTAATGTTACAATTTTAGGCAGTAGAAAAGAAATAGAAGAAATCTTTATGTTAAGTATATTTTAAGGTTTTTTTTTTTAACCCAAATGGTGCTAAATCTGACTTTAAAGAAATAAATACCTAGTTTGTTAATCAGTTTATAATCTCACCGTTGGTATGTGTATTTTTGTGCCATCCTGTACAGAAGGTAACTTTGAATTTAACACTCTTAATTGCTGCATTCTCAGTGATGTGTGTGATTAAGGGCACTCATTATAAAATCTCTTCAGATTGTAAGAATAGGATTCTTTTTTTTTTTTTAAGATTTTATTTATTTGAGAGAGAGAGAATGAGAGAAAGAGACAGCATGAGAGGGGATAGGGTCAGAGGGAGAAGCAGACTCCCCGCTGAGCAGGGAGCCAGGTGCGGGACTCGATCCAGGGACTCCAGGATCATGACCTGAGCCGAAGGCAGTTGCTTAACCAACTGAGCCACCCAGGCGCCCAAGAATAGGATTCTTAACTCTGAAAGCTTTTATTTCTGTTTTTATTAGAAATATTTCCTTGTTTACATTTAATTGACAAATGAGACTTAGAGAAGCAGTTACTGATATTTAACTATGGTCCCTTTCTCAGTTTTCTTTTTTTATAATCATAGTCTTCAAGGTCTTTCATTTCCCTGAATTTTCTGAGATCTAGCAGTTTAACAATTTAAAAATTTTGTTGCGTTGGGGCGCCTGGGTGGCTCAGTCGTTAAGCGTCTGCCTTCGGCTCAGGTCATGATCTCAGGGTCCTGGGATCGAGCCCCGCATCAGGCTCCCTGCTCGGCGGGAGGCCTGCTTCTCCCTCTCCCACTCCCCCTGCTTGTGTTCCCCCTCTTGCTGTGTCTCTCTCTGTCAAATAAATAAAATCTTTAAAAAAAAAAAAAAAGAAAAGAAAAATTTTGTTGCGTTAAAATAATTGAGTTGCCCACAAAAGAGGATAATTTTTTTTTTTTTTTGCTTTAAAATTAAGGATTCTACATGCCAAATTCTTTGTTGAGTTCCTGGTAACCTTTAAAAAGAAAAGTCTTACCTGTGTATTTGGTGGGCACTTGCTATTTTGATGCCCTTTTAAAGTAAATTGACAGCATTCAAACTTTCTTTCCAGTTATTATGGAGCAGATTTAGTTTTAGGAACCTGGATTACACATTAAAATACATTTTGAGCAAAAGGAAATACTAACATTTTTTACTATAGTCATTATTTCTTTCTAAGCTGGATGGATAGATTTAGCAATAATTGCTGTCTTTTTGTTATGCCACAGATTTCACGTATTTTTATGATAATGTCCTTTGAAACATTTAGTAAAACTTATTTTAGAATCTGACTGGGTAAGTAACGCGGCTATTACTGAACCACTTATTTTGGCAGGTATTTTCACTGTATTTCTCATTTAAGAATAAACTCATATGTTAATTTTTTAAGATATGATAATAGCATTGGGGTTATTTTTTTAAGAATCCTTATTTTGTAAAGTTTTATACTGACATACTTAACAGAATTATATGTGGTATTTATAGTAATTCTGGAAGATGAAATTTGCCATAATAAAGTTAAAAATACATAAGCTAATCTCTGTGGGTTAACTGATATTTTAACTGTTTGATGTTATTGAACATATTATGTTTCTTAAATTTGCATCCATTTTTTAACTTCTTGTTTTGAAGTAATATTTAATTTACAGAAAAGTTATAATAATAGTACAAAGAACTCCCATATACACTTCACCCAGATTCCCCAGTTGTTAATGTTTTATCTCTAATTTGCTTCTGCTAAATCATCGAAGAATAAAGCACAGAAATGATCGCACAGTGCCTTTTTACCAGTATCTACTTCACTGTCTATTATAATTATCAAAATCAGGATATTAGCATTTTTACAGTACTAACATCTAACTGCAGTCCTATCTAAGATTTTGTCAGTTGTCCCAGTAATGTTCTTTTTAACCAAGACACAACTGAAAATTTTCTTGTCTAGTATCCCAACAATTTGGATTTGTCTTATATATCCTCATGATTTGATTTAGGTTGTATCTTTGTGTCAGGAATGGTACAGAAGTAATGTTTACTTCAGTGCATCACATCAAGAATTCCCTCAACTTTAAAAAATGAGCTTAAAGTTTTTTTATTCAGACTGTTTTGCTGTTTCACAGACTTGAGAAATTGGACCATAAAGTTCTGTAGAATTTGAAGAGCTGTTTTTGCTTTCTTCTGACATGTCAGATGGATTAAAAGAAGTATTGTTTTTCTCATTATTTTAGCCCTCATTCAAGTTGCTGCAGAACAAATTTCATGTGCATTTTTAAAATAATTCTTACATTTAAAGAACAAAGATGTTTCCAGAACATCCATCAGTTTTTATTCTACTTCAGAATAATGTTCCTGCTCCTGTCATTCTTTCTTTTCCTCTTATTTACTATATTTATGGAATCTAAGATAACATGGATGCTAATATTTTCTTGATCTTACCTGAAAGTGTTAGTGGAAAATTTCATTTTACTTTGTCATGCTTTCTAATTGGCTGGTAACTGTCTAATGCCATAGATTATAAAATGTATCTTAATATCAAGAAGTTGAAAGTTTTAAGAAATCTTAGAAGCAATGAAATAAGTATGTTCTTTATCTTTCCCAGCCAGAAAGTAGAGAGGCCAACTGATAACCTGGATAATCTCTCAATTCCTTATGTAGGTACCTAGAACTTCCCCTCTGTTGCTGATTATTTTTTACAATATAGCAAAATTCTTAAACCTACAAAAATGTACTTTAAAAACCATTATGTGCTTCTAAGAATAGTATGAGGTTGGAGTGTGATGAAACCAATGGGAGTATCATTTCTCTAAAACTTTGATTTAGAAATAACTAAAACCTTGAAAAATCTCTCGGAAACCTTGGTTAAACTCACTTAAATGTTGCTCTTTAGGTAAAGGATAGCAAACTTTCTTTAAAAGGCCAGAAGATAAGACTTGATGAGCGCTATGGTGTCTGTTGCAGTTACTCAACCCTGCCATTGTAATATGAATTGTCCAAAGATGGTGTAGCTATGTTCCAGTAAATGTTTTACCATAAAACTTTATTTACAAAGTAGGCAACCAGCAAAGTGGTCTTGTGGTTTGCCAACCCCTAACTTAGACCCCTTTCTCAGAATATTTCAGGACAGTGTGGGGGCATTTAAAGGCTGACTCTGAATTAAAGTTTATAGTTGCAGAAGCTGCTATGGTGGTGTAAAAAGAAGTTAAAAGAGAGGACATAGGAATAAGCAGACTTCAATGGAAAGGAGGTCATTGGGCCCTCTTAAGACTATAAATTTAAGGGGAGGTGGAGAAAAAAATTTTATATATACATATATATATAAATTTAAGAGGGTGTTCTCTAGATTTTGGTGGTCCGGCATTGACACATATTAACTGGAGTTACTCTGTAATGGTTTATTTGCACATCAAGTCATTTGATTTTAAGAAGGAATTTTCCAGTAGTTTTTCTTATATCTTCACTATTTAGCTGCACTTACTTGAGCATAAGTTTTTTTCTAGCCTGAGTAATGCCATTGTTGGAGAAGCAGGGTAAGGAAAACTGGATTCGTATGTGCAGTATTTTAATGGTACCAGTAAGGAGCTCCTGCAAACAGTTAGAAATAAGACAGTTCAACTCAAGCTGGCTTGAATTTTGAAAGAGTGGTCCAACTTACAGTGATTTTCTATTCCATTTCCTGTGTTCTGCCATTGGAGAAATAGGTATGGGAGAGTTAATAAGGTCACTTGGATAGTGTATATCTTAGATGGCTGTACTGCAGTTAGAGAGGCTGGGTCCTTTGATTCAGCTGTTCCTTCTGTTCAGAAGGGCTTGCTTTATTATGTTAAGAAATGAAACATGCCTTACAGACAACATATAATGTTGATAATACTTTTAGTTCATTGATGTATGTTCAACCATTCATTAATTGTTTTGAACTATTTGTTCATTGTTTCTGAAAAATACCATTACTTTTGAGTGGATGTAGTCATGCATTGTAGTAGACTAATTTTAATTATTTACTGAGGTGGGTGTACCTCTGGAGAAAGACTGTCTTGCTGTTCCATACTGCTCTGTG